TCTGAGCCAGCTCCCATGTCACAGAAGGAAGAGAGCACATCCAGTTAGTCACAGTCAGAGAAACAGGACTACACTGAAAAACAGGCCGATCTCCAACATCTATAAACAAGGGTGTTGATGGCAGCAGCACAGCTGATATTTCTCTCCAGGATGGAGTCACAGCCATAAAGGAACAGACCGGATGAAGCTGTTATGAGAAATGCTGATGAAGATTCTCAGTCATCCAGGTCATAGTCATTCCGTAAAAGTTCAAAAAACTCCACTGGACTTGGTTTCCAAGATTTTAAGACATTTCGCCTCCCCTCCAGGAAGCTTTCTCATACTATGAGAAAAAGCAGAGGAAGCAGAACATTAGAGATTGAACTAACAGATTCTACAGAGTGGGAGAATAGAGATAGAATGATGAAATGGGGGTCCCCATGTCCTCCAGCAGTCTAAGCCTATAGCAGCATAACTATAGAGATAGCTCAGGGTTACATAAAAAAGGCCATGGGATGGAGAATCAGCCTAGTGTAATTGGTGGGATTGTCATGGGAAAGTACTGCAAAAAAAAAAAAAAAGTTATTACAATAGTCTTCATGCAGAAAATTGTATCTTTATTAACCTTGAGCCATCTATTCAGGCTAGAGTTCCTTAGAGATCCTGTTATCCATCTATAGGTGAACAGAAACAGTAGTTTTAGATCAGAGGGCTGTTTGTAAAATAAAGATAACTATCATTTTGGCTTTTCTTTAGAGTTCAGTGTCAGGTTTATATGGGGATTGTTTTTGTACCATTCTAATGATTAGAGTGTGATGGAGAAAAGATCTCACAGACATTTCTTAACTCCAGTGTCATTTAAATACACTTCGATAGTTGTTTATGCTCTTCTGAAACATTCAGTTCTCTTTCTTTGCCTCCATTTTCACTTTGGAACATGTTTTAGAGTCAGATCATATTTTAACTTCATCACCTCACAGCCTGAATATGTTATAACCAAGGTTAGGCAATAATAGAAAGACATTCTTAAAGGAAAGTAGATCAACCTGTTCCTTTGGCTCCTGAATGCCTGCAGCTTGTTTCTCATCTAAAGGTTGATGTAATGCTTCATAACTTAACATTATTATCCTGGTTTTAATTAGAAACATCTGAAGGAAACTCATTTATTTCAATACTTTGTCGATTATCTGAGAAACATTTAGAATAATGATATTAAGTCATTACAACATTGTGGCCTTCAGTTAGTTTTGCATGAATTTTTAAAAAACTTCTTTGTTAGGATTAGCATCATCTCATCACATTGAAGCTCTTCTTCATGCCCCAACATGCGTGTTCTCTTTCAGACACCTAGATATATCCAGAGAGAGCAGAAGGAATACCAAGTTTAAAATGACCAAGGAGGTCCTGACCGTCATCGTTAAGCGTCTGGTCAATCTGGTGTCCTTGGACATCTCGGGTCACATCATGCTGGACAACTGCACGGTGCCCCACTTTGAGGAAGCTTTGGGCCGTCCCAGGTGAGTATCCATCTGACAGTCGAATAAATCAGATTTTTTCCCATCAGATAACAGACTTTGGTCTCTTTTTTTTCAGCACTGAACCCTGTAAAAGCAGCCTCTACCCGTTCCAGGAGCTGAAGAGGCCGCTGCAGTTTCTGGGACTCTATGATACCACACTGTGCAACGTGACTCACATCCCTGCTTATAAGGTACTGCTCAGCTGCTTTGAATAGGGCTGAAGCTTTGGCTAATGGTTGCTTTTTACAGCCGATCCTTGAATTATTGCTTCCTGGTTTCAGAAAGGATTATAATCT